TGTTGTTTTGATTTGCATCTCTCGGATGATTAGTGACTTTGAGCATGTTTTCATATGTCTCTTGGCTTTCTGAATGTCCTCTTTTGAAAGGTGTCTATTTAGGTCCTTTGCCCATTTTTTGATTGGATTGTTTATCTTCCTTTTGTTAAGTTGTATGAGTTCCCTATAAATTTTGGAGATTAGGCCCTTATCAGATATGACATTGGCAAATATGTTTTCCCACACAGTGGGTTTTCTCGTTGTTTTGTTCATGGTTTCTTTTGCTGTGCAGAAGCTTTTTATTTTGATGTAGTCCCATTTGTTCATTTTCTCTTTCGTTTCAAGTGCCCTAGGAGCTGTATCAGTGAAGAAATTGCTTCGGCACATGTCTGAGATTTTGTTGCCTTTGGATTCTTCTAGAATTTTTATGGTTTCCTGTCGTACATTTAAGTCCTTTATCCATTTTGAGTTTATTTTTGTGTATGGTGTAAGTTGGTGGTCTAGTTTCATTTTCTTGCATATATCTGTCCAATTTTCCCAGCACCATTTATTGAAGAGACTATCTTGGCTCCATTGTATGTTCTTGCCTCCTTTGTCAAATATTAATTGAGCATATTGGTTCGGGCCGATTTCTGGGCTCTCTATTCTATTCCATTGATCTATATGCCTATTCTTGTGCCAGTACCAGGCAGTTTTGAGAACAGTGGCTTTGTAATACATCTTGATATCTGGTATTGAGATCCCACCTACTTTGGTCTTTTTCAGGATTGCTGCAGCTATTCGAGGTCTTTTTTTATTCCAGATGAATTTTTGGAGAGTTCGTTCTAGATCTCTGAAGTATGCCGTTGGTATTTTAATGGGAAGTGCGTTGAATTTATAGATTGCTTTGGGTAGTATGGACATTTTAATGATGTTGATTCTACCAATCCATGAACACGGTATGTTCTTCCATCTGTTTATGTCTTCCTCTATATCTTTTTTCAACGTCCTGTAGTTTTCTGAGTAGAGGTCTTTTACCTCTTTAGTTAAGTTTATTCCTAGGTAGCTTAATTTTTTTGGTGCGATGGTAAACGGGATTGTTTTTATAATCTCTCTTTCTGAAAGTTCACTATTGGTGTATAGAAATGCCTCGGATTTCTTGGGGTTAATTTTGTATCCTGCTACATTGCCAAATTCATGTATTAAGTCCAGTAGCTTTTTGATAGAGTATCTAGGGTTTTGTATGTATAATATCATGTCGTCTGCAAATAAGGACAGTTTTACTTCCTCTTTTCCAATTTGGATGCCTTTTATTTCTTCTTCTTGCCGAATTGCAATGGCTAACACTTCCAGTACTATGTTGAACAGGAGTGGTGAGAGGGGGCATCCCTGTCTTGTTCCTGTTCTTAGGGGAAATGGTGTTAGTTTTTGTCCATTGAGTATGATGTTGGCTGTGGGCCTGTCATATATGGCTTTTATTATGTTGAGGTATGATCCTTCTACTCCCACCTTGCTGAGAGCTTTTATCAAAAATGGGTGTTGAATTTTGTCAAATGCTTTTTCTGCATCAATTGATATGACCATGTGGTTTTTTTCTTTCAATTTGTTTATGTGATGTATCACGTTTATTGATTTGCGGATATTGTACCATCCTTGCATTCCTGGGATAAATCCTACTTGGTCATGGTGTATGATCTTTCTGATGTACTGCTGGATCCGATTTGCTAAGATTTTGTTGAGGATTTTGGCATCTATGTTCATGAGGGATATTGGCCTGTAATTCTCTTTCATTGTGTTGTCTTTACCTGGTTTTGGTATTAGGGTGATGCTGGCTTCATAGAATGAGCTTGGAAGTGTTCCTTCCTCTTGAATTTTTTGTAGTAGTCTGAGGAGGATAGGTTTTAGTTCTTCCTTGAATGTTTGGTAAAACTCCCCTGTGAAGCCGTCTGGTCCTGGGCTTTTGTTTGTTGGAAGCTTTTTAATGACTGCTTCAATTTCTTCCATAGTTATTGGGCTGTTGAGATTTTTAGATTCTTCCTGATTGAGTTTTGGAATGTTGTATTTTTCTAGGAATTTGTCCATTTCCTCCAGGTTGTCTAGTTTGTTGGAGTAGAGCTGTCCATAGTATTTTTTAACAATCATTTGTATTTCTGTGGGGTCTGTTGTTATTTCGCCTCTATCGTTTCTGATTTTGTTTATTTGGGTCCTCTCTCTTTGCTTCTTGGTGAGTCTGGCTAGAGGTTTGTCAATCTTGTTTATCCTTTCAAAGAACCAGCTCTTGGTTTCATTGATTTTCTGTATTGTTTTTTTTGGTCTCTATGTCATTTATTTCTGCTCTAATCTTTATTATCTCCTTCCTTCTGCTCACTCTGGGGTTTTCTTGTTGCTCTCTTTCTAATTCTTTGAGTTGTAGAGTTAGATGATTTACTACCATTTTTTCTTGTTTTTTGAGATAGGCCTGTAGAGCTATAAACTTCCCTCTCAGGACTGCTTTCATTGTGTCCCATAGGTTTTGGATTGTTGTGTTTTCATTGTCATTAGTTTCCAGGATGTTTCGAATTTTTTCTTTGATTTCATTGGTAACCCAATCAATATTTAATAGCATGCTATTCAGCTTCCAGGTGTTTGAGTATTTTGGGTTGTTTTTATTGTAGTTTATTTCTAATATTATGCCATCGTGGTCTGCGAAAATGCTTTTTATGATTTCAATTTTCTTGAATTTGGGGACACTTTGCTTGTGACCCAATATATGGTCTATTTTTGAATATGTCCTATGAGCATTTGAGTAGAATGTATATTCCCTGGCTTTCGGGTGAAGTGTTCTGAAGATGTCTATTAAGTCCATCTGATCTAGTGAGTCATTTAGGATTGCTGTATCTTTGCTGATTATTTGTCTAGAGGACTTATCCAGTGCTGTCAGTGGTGTATTAAAGTCCCCTACTATGATTGTATTGTTGTCGATGTCTCCTTTGATATCTTCCAGGAGTTTTTTTATGAATTTGGGTGCTCCTGCATTGGGTGCATATATGTTTACCAGGATTATATCTTCTTGTTGTATTGATCCCTTTAGTATTCTGAAGTGGCCTTCCTTATCTCTTGTTATGGCCTTCACTTTGAGGTCTATTTTGTCCGATATAAGTATTGCTACCCCAGCTTTCTTTTCCTTTCCATTTGCCTGAAAGATATTTTTCCATCCTTTCACTTTCAGTCTGTGTGAGTCCCTTCTAATGAGGTGGGTTTCTTGTAGACAGCAGATGTATGGGTCATGTTTTTTTATCCATTCAGCCACTCGATGTCTTTTGTTTGGAGCATTTAGTCCGTTTACATTTAAAGTTATTATTGAAAGGTACTTGTTTGTAGGCATTTCTGTTTTTGTGTGGCTGTTTTCTTTCTGAGCTTTTTATTTCTTATTTTTATACCAGTCCCTTTAGCATTCCTTGCATTGCTGGCTTGGTGGTGATAAACTCCCTTAGCCTTTTTTTGTCTGTGAAGCTTCTTATTTCCCCTTCAAGTTTGAATGATAGCCTTGCTGGATAGAGTATTCTTGGATTCAGTCCTTTGCTTTGCATCACTTTGTAAATTTCCGTCCATTCTTTTCTGGCCTGATATGTTTCTGTTGAGAAATCATTTGACAATCTAATGGGAGATCCCTTGTATGTAACTTTCCGTCTCTCTCTTGCAGCCTGTAAGATTCTCTCTTTGTCCTGAACATTTGCCATGGTAATTATGATGTGTCTTGGTGTGGGTCTTTTTGGGTTCACCTTGTTTGGGACTCTCTGGGCTTGTGTGACTTTTTTCTTCCCCACCTCAGGGAAGTTTTCTGATATTATTTCTTCTAATAGGTTTTCTAATCCTTGTTCATCCTTCTGTTGTTCTGGTACCCCTATTATTCGTATGTTGTTTCGTTTCATGTTGTCCCAAAGCTCCCTTAGGCTCTCCTCCTGTCTTTTTATTTTTTTCTCCAATTGCAGTACGTTTTGGGTGTGTTTTGCTTCCTTGTCTTCTAAATCACTAATTCGGTCCTCCGCTTCTCCTAGTCTACTGTTGATACTTTCAATGGAGTTTTTCATTGCAGCTATATCACTCTTCATTTCTACTTGGGTCTTACTTAAGTTGTTGATTTTTTCATCTGTTTCTTCTAGCTTCTTGCTGAGGTTGTCGATTTTTTCCTCCATCCGGTTTATGCACTCTAGGACCCTTATTCTGAATTCTTTTTCTGTCATGTTGCATGCCTCTGTATTACTTAGCTGCTTTTCTGGAGAGTCCTCCTTCTCTTTCCTTTGGGGGTTTCTTTGTCTACCCATGTTTGATCTCACTGACATACCTAGACGTTGAGTCGTTCAGTGGCTGCTCCCTTGGTGGCAGTGACTTCTTGGTCTGCGGTTGCTCTTCGGGCGGTTGCGGTAGCAGCTGCTCTTCAGTTGGCAGCAACTCCTCTGGTGGGTGCTGTTCACAGCTGTGGTGGCTCTTCTGGCTGGTGGGGCGAGGTTTCACGTACAGCTGCTGTTCCTCAGCAGAGGGTGTGGTGCTCAGGAGGTTGCTGTTGCTTGGATCTGCTTTCCAGGGGAGTTCTGCTCTTCCCGGCTGCAAACCGTCTCGCCAGCTGAGGAATTTCGCCAATTCGGGGTGGATGTTACTAGTTTCAGCTGCTCACTCCATTTGCTCAGGGACACGACCTGGGACGCGTCTGCCTATACCGCCGCCATCTTTCATCTCCTGAAAACAATAATTTATTGCCTTTTCCTCCAAAGCTTTGTGAATTTACAAAAAAAAAAATCAAAATTTACAGACTGCTTATTTAAGAATGAAAATACAAGAGGTGAGAACCTGGGCCACCGTGGTCACAGGGTGTTTACCAGATATGCACTGACATCTGAAACAAGCCTTCCTCTCCCCCTAGATGTGTTTTATTACCTTCAGAGATGATGCATCCTTCACATACCATCTCACATGATATACCTGGGTCATTAGTCAAAGTCAATGGAATAGTACAGAGGCTTTTTATGTTTTTCTGCCCTCCTGCTATATCATGAAATTTCAGTTCATTTCGGAAAAATAAATTGGTCAACAAATTCATTTTGTTCTGCTTCTACTTTACACAAAGCTTCATATTCAACCCGATACCTTTCGAGCTGCATTTTCTTTTCTGCTATTAGTGCTTGGAGTTGCCTCTGTTGGGCTTCTCTCTGTTTTATGATAGATTTGAGCAAATTGCAAGCACCAGTGGCCTTCCTCTTCTCATTTTCTGCTTCTTTTGCAAGTTGGTCAACAAGCTCAAGTAAACCACCAACTATTTTCTGAAATTGGCCAATTTTGTCCACTAAGTCCTTGCTCTCTTCCTTGAGCTCTATGGTCTGCTGGGTAACCTCTGGGTCCAACACCTGCAGCTTGTTCAGCTCATCAAAGTGCAAGCCAGCACCCAGGATGTCCTTGGCCATAGCTTCTGACCCCGCAGTGGTGGCGGGCAGCAGCCCAGGCTGAGGTTGGCATATAGCTTCTCTCTCAATCCACAGCAGCAGTACCTGGCCTGCCAGCCTCAGCCGCTGCCACGGCTACAGGACCTGTGTGCGCATAACGTCACTCATGAATATATCTTGAAGAAAAATAATTAACACTGCCTTTTTATGAGGAAATACAGTTAATTAACGGTTGAAAATAAAACTTTAAAAATAACTAAAGTGTGAAAGCTAATAAACTATGATAGTATGTTTAAAGTACCATTTGGATATGAAATAAAGTAATTGTCAGGAAAAGATGATAGAGGATACTAAAAGGAGGCAAAAATTGATGAGATAGGATATATGCATACTGCCAAAATATCACCACACAGATTACTTTAATAATTGCAATGGAGCAAAATACTTTTATAATGAAGGAGTTTGGTTGCCACCTCCTTAAACAAGTGACCAAATTTAGCATCACTAATTATTAAAATACTTGACAATATATGTTCCATCTGATGTGATGTAATATGAAGTCAACTACTCTTTTTTTATATTTATTGATTTCAGAGAGGAAGGGAGAGGGAGCGAGAGAGAGATAGAAACATAAATGATGAGAGAGAATCACTGATTGGCTGCTTCCTGCACACCAGTGGGGACCGAGCTTGCAACCTGGGCAGGTTCTCTGACCAAGAATCGAATTGTGACCTCTTGGTTCATAGGTTGATGCTCAACCATTGAGCGATGCTGGCTGGGCTGAAGTCAACTACTCTTATGACATATTACTGAAGAAAATGTAACATTTTACCTATTTCCTTATTCTGTTCCATCTCAGTCGAAAAAGTTCTTTATGCCTCAATAGACCTAACTTCTTCAGAAGCTGCAGTCTGAAGTGAGCACTCCTAAAAAGTTCATGGTTATTTTAGCCACTCCCAACTGAGTTAGTACAGCTGAAAATCTTTTACATGTCTCATTTGTTAAAGAATCCAAAGAGTTTATGCCACTAATACCATAACAATAAAACTATTTAAAATGAATCAAGCCCTGATCCTGGGCAAAATTACATTTTTTGAGCCTTATCCAGGATGTTCACAAAGGCCAGAGGAGTGGTTCATTACTGGGTGGTGAGGGAAAAGCAGAGACTGGTCTTGATTTTCACCTTCCCATGCATGATGTCTGTCATCTATGATAGTTGGGTAGAGTCCATCATCTGTAAATTTAAATTAAATTGGTCAAGAGTTCATTTTGGCAGAATGTGTTTACCTGTATGGCTGTTGGGAGTGGAGGGGATTTTTCTCCTTTTTCAGAGAGTGCCTTTTGAGGATATGTAGTGTTGATAGACTTCATCACCAGGATTATTTATTAATGTGTCTTTTATTTCCCATCCACCATATTCAAAGTTCCTTAATTGGCATTCCCCCTTAAGTTCTGTGATTCTGGCTCACCAGTGCTGCATTGGTATGGGATGGTCCTAACAATATGATGTGCCAAATGTTCCCAGTGTTCACCAGAACTTTCTTCTCCTTCCTGAAGGCATGGACACTAATGCTTTCTAGTTACCTTGTAGTTAAGAGGAGTCATGTGACTAGATCTGGCCAAGAAAATGCGGGCAATGAAAACTGATGTGAGTCCTTCCCAGGCTGACACAGTGCAATATCACCAAAACTCCAGCAACAGCTAGGCTCCTTGAATGTCTGTGTCAAAAACAAGGCCCTTTCCATGGTATATTATTATTATTTTAAAGTATGTCTTTTATTGATTTCAGAGAGGAAGGGAGCGAGAGATAGAAACATCAATTTTGAGAGAGAATCATAGATCAGCTGCCTCCTGCACGATCCCTTATTGGGGATCAAGCCTACAACCCAGGCATGTGCCCTGACTGGGAATCAAACAGTGGCCTCCTGGTTCATGGGTCAATGCTCAACCACTGAGATGCACCAGCTGGGTCCCATGGTATACTAGTATTATTAATACAACTGTTTTAGTTTTAGGCACTGAGATGCAGGAGTTAATTCGTTAGCACTGCATAATCTAGCTCATCCTGACTAATACAGATGGCTTCTTCCTTCCCCAGTGAGCAAGGATTTTTGCTTGGTTGCTACAGTACCTACTGACACTGTCATTTAATTTGGAATTGTTAGGTCTATAAAACTAGTTCTTTAGGGGACCTTACCATCACCTCTTTATTTGTTTCCACTAGAGAAGCACTCTTCACAGATTCTTGAACTAAATCTGAAGTTGCTCCCAAAATCTGTATTTCTGTCACCTCCTGAAGAGTAATACATCTGGCACGAACTCACAAAGACACTTACTTCAATTGCTTAGCTCAGCTATTGATGTCATGTGCCTGTAGTAGCATTTGTTCTGCTATATCCCATTTGGCAAGAGGACAGTCTATTCTCCTGTTCCTTTCAGAGAGGTCCTAATTCAATTTTATCAGCTTAATATGCTTCTTCATTTGGTTCCATTTCTCCTCGAACTTAGCTACAACTCAAAATTGTTTGCTGAAACTCAAGGCCCTTTCTTTACTTTCCCTTGTTGTTGTTGTTGTTTGTTGTTGTTGCTGCTGTTGTTATTTGTTGTTGTTTTCGGGGGGAGGGGGGTTAGGTGTTTGTTTTTAAAATATTCCTTTCAACTTTGAAATCTGTAGTCTCCCATAGTAAGGTCTATGAAATTAATTAATTCTGTTCAAACAAATCATGTCATTCTTTACTCCCTCACGTGGATAACCTTATTCTGGAGGCTTCTAACATCAGCTTTAGAACTGCATTGCTTAGCTCTCCAGAATTGCCATATTTCTGATTTGCTGTGACTTTCCTTAGTGCCCTAATTCTGTAACTTTCATGAGTGTGTTCTTTTAGGGAGAGACAATTATTCAACCTCCATTTATAGTAACCATGTTATAAAATCCCATCTAACATTGCTTTGATAGTTCATGTCAATCTTTTGTCTGCCTTTTTCAAGTCTGAACTAATTTTTTCCTTCCTTCTTCCCTTTCAATGTCTGTCTGTCACGAACTATAAGATTCATTTTTCCTTTCATAGACCATTAGTTTGGCTTCTAATATTTCCATTTTTAAGGAATTATCTTCTTTCACTAAATCAATTGGTTTTATTTGTTTTACTTTCTATCATTCACTGCTTCTACTCTGAGATAAAATTAAAGCATGTTTTTCAAAACTCTCTAGATTCATTAAGTTCTGAAGAAGTATGATTCCCAGAGATAGCACTATAGGCACAGGCCTTTTTTGACTATCTACCTTGAGTATTTAATGAATTCATTGGGTCGTTTTTTATCCTCAGCTCTATGTATCAAATTTATAATAGGGGGGCTTCTATTTCTTCTTTGCGATGAATAAGTCAACTAAATCATTGTCTCAATGCTGCATATGCTTGTTGAGTTTTGAAGGCACTAAAGCATAAACACACACACACACACACACACACACACACACACACACACACACGCACACAGGCACATATTACAGAAATTCATCAAGCATAAGGCCCACACAGTTTCCCCATCTATCCCTGAAGACTTTTTCAAAACATCAAATAGAAAGAACAGAATTTGAATCAACTAATCTAGAAAGGCCTATTTATGTCTGACCTTAAGTAGTTTGAGCTAAAAGCTTATATTAATTATGTTATACTACATGAATGTAGTCTCTTCAGCACAAAGTCCTAGCCTGCATTCCTGTCTGATAAACATTATAAACACATGAAAAAAATATTCAGCCCATTAGTACAATAACATCTCTTAGATCCATCCAAAGGGTTTGGGTTTGCCAATGCTCGATACATTAAAGTTACCCCTAATTTCATCTTCAAATATTTCCAACAGGGTCAGATTCTACAAATAGAGCATATGACTGAAAAAAGATGAGTAGGCCCCCAAGGAATATTTTCCCCAATTTCATTAATATCAGATTTTGTTTCTAACAATTAATTCTTCTTACTTAACTTTGGTTTATAACCATTTGTTATATCATAATCATGTGTCATTGTCTAATTTCTTAACAGAGAACTGAAGTCATTTATTTTTAATCTTTCATATTTAATAATGTAGGCACTTACAGCCATAAATTTTCATGGAATAACAAATTTTATCACTTCATAGAATTTTTAAGAAACATTCACTTTTCATTACTTTAAAAAAAAGTTTTAATAAGTTCAACAATTTTTCCCAAGTTGTTCAGCTAGTAAATACTGGACCCAGACTTAAAAGCTTCAGTTTCCTGCCCTAGCCAGTTTGGCTCAGTGGATAGAGTGTTGGCCTGCAGAACAAAAGGTCCCTGTTTTGTTTACAGTAAAGGGCATGTACCTTGGTTGCAGGCTCCTCCCCAGCCTACAACCAAGTTCACTTTAGTTTTACTCTGAGAAATGCCATACCACATGCAGCACCCTTTGTTGTTTTATTACAGAAGCAAGTTCTTTGAAGATCTACTCATGGTCCCAGAGATCACAGTCAATTTGCCCACACCCCTTGCCAACCATCTCCACTAGAAGCTGAAACTCTGGTGAAGGTTTGACCTTATTTGGGGCTTATCACCAGCTCATTGTATATTCAAATTTTGAAAAACACAGTCCACTATGAAAAGTATAGAAATGTTTTATTAGCTAGTATCTAAGAAAAGTTTAGGCATTACTTTGAAAAATATTTTGATGGGTACTTATGAGTCTGTGTAAAAGCAAAATATTTTCCTAAAATCTTTACTAATGTTTTACTCTTAGAATAATCAATGTTATGCTACATATTTTCCATTTGCTCCTCTGGATCAACCTCCAACCTGATCTATCCATCCCGCAGAATACTGACTTCTGTTGATTGCATAAAAGGATTTCTTAGCTCATTGGTTTCAAGTTGGATTGAATGAACAGAGGTTAGTGAATGGAGAGCACAGGAAAAAGAAGGCTGAAAGATAGTGGGGTCAGGGTACTTATTCTCTCTGTTCCCTTCTTTCTAAGCACCACAGGTTAGCTGTTTCCTTTTACTAA